CATATACAATCAAAGCTACAGAATGGATGCTTCAACTCACCTGGGGAACCAGACTCTTTAAATGAACTTCCCAAATTTCTTCCCCTTGTGCAGTCCATGCTGCAACATTTCCGTGCGTATCTGTTGTCACTAGCTCAATCTTGCCATCATCATTGATATCAGCTGCAACTACTGCACTTTGAATTTCCGCCATTTCAAGAGGAAATTTTTGTCTGACATTTCCTGAAAGAAATGAATAATTCAGTTACAAAATTGGTAAATAAATTGAAAGAAAGTTGTTTATAATTTAAAGTTATTTCAATGGGAAAGACAAAGATGGAAGATCTTTGCACAGAAAGTAGCTTCCAATGAAAAACATCAATCGCATGAGACAAAAACTTTTAAAAAGAAAAAGGAAACAGAATATTGTGACACAAGGAGATGATGTGTAATCACGTTGCAAGAAGATGAAGTTCACACAGAAGAATCCGAAAGTGGTATGGAAGCAAGGGTGACAAACCATATAAGGCATTTCCAACATATTCAAATAAGAACCCACATAATTGAATCAAAACCATGTAGCAGGCAACAAACTGAATGTAGAAGAAGAATAATCCAAAAGGAGATTTCATAAAAAATTGAGTCATGAGCTAAGTAGTTTCAACATTGGAGCAGATTTGGCAACTAAACCACTTTCAATTTGCATAGGCACAGAGGTGGGGAATATTGATTTGCTATGTTGTGAACTATGGGCAACTCATGTAAGACATATTGCAGGAAATATAAACTAAAAATACAGGGGAAATTAGTTAAAGAAAAAGGTTAGCAATCTAGAGGAATTACCATGGTGATCCAATACATAGAACAAGCCAAATGAAGTTCCAACAAGGATGTCCAAGTTTCCATCACCATCCAAATCAACAACATTTGGAGAAGAATATATATATGCGCGAAAGTTGGAAGTATCTGTACTTAAATCTAAATCTTTTGTCCACTTAACCTGCTTCGTATCAAGATTGAATACGACAATGCCACCAGCAATGTATTTTCCAATTTCAATACCTCCAAGTTCCTTCATATGCTCTGGGTTGTCATAATACCTAACATATAATGTCAGATTTTTAGCTCCGTCAATTGTAAAAGAGCACCCCTTCTTCCACGAAATACAAAATAACTTAAAATAGATAGTAAACGTTAAATATGAAAAGGGAAGAAGAGAAGGTTATAATATTCCTTCAATCAATTTCAAGTGGCACTTGAGAGAGAACCTAGACTGCAAAGTCATATTGCAATGCTAGGAAGAAAACTTACTCATGATCAAAGAAGTAGGAAACAGCAACAATCATTTCTGATACCCCATCATTATCAATGTCTGCTATTACCTGATGGAAAATTAGAGAGCAAAATTTTGTGACTGTTATATAAAATTTCACTTGTGTCAAACAACGAAGTTCCTCCTCTAGAAAGAAACACAGTATCTAATTGAAATCTATACTCACTGGTGTAGACAAGATGTGTGAGTCAATATTCACATAATCCTCCATTTTCTCATGTTGTCCTTCAGTCCACTCCTCATCTCCCCACATGGATTCATCAACATAATCATCATAATCATAACTATACTCATCAGCCAACTCATCACTATCACGGAATAACTCAAAAGATGAATCTGCATCTGCTTCTAACCCTTGTTCATTTTCCACAGTAGCTTCCTGAACCTTATCTTTTGAATCAGAACTACCTTCCTGAGAACCTTTTGAGTCGTTATCTTCTAGAAGCCGTCGCCCAGCACTTGCTTTATTATGCGCTTCATTGTTTCTGACTGATTCAGTGTTTACAGAAGTATTATCAACAATGGTAGGCAGCTTGATTGTATCTTCTATTTGACTTCCATTTGTTTTCTTTCCATCCTCCGCATTGGACAAGTTAACCTTGCTAGAGTGATTTTCTATTGATGTTGAACCCGTAAGGTTAGATTCAAGTATACTTCCACTTGTTTCTGCAAGGACAACCAACATGTATTGCTTTGAGTCCTTTCATGGGAAGAGAGTGCTTCAAAATATAAATAAAACCATGCTCTTCTAAATTTGTTTTAGATTGCCCCTTTTCAAAGAAGAAAGCAATACAGCCGAAAACATAAATAAATTAGAAACAGATGGTGCAACTTAATAGCAGAATAAGGGACTAACTTCTGCAAAAAGAACAATAAATCCCTGCAAGAAATGTGCTGTATACTTTGTGCCAGTTTATCGTCTGCATACTACCATTATGTAGCAGAGCACAAGGGAGCTTTCTTAGCAACTACTATGAAGTGAGAGATTAAGATATTGAGAAGTAACAGGGTATAAAATTATTGAAACTTGGGAATAACATACGGTTCATTGCATTCATTTTAGCAGCTTCCTGGATGAGTAAATCATCCTGTACATCTGGATGAGAACGGTCCACTGGATCAGGATGCAATCCCACATGCCAATCTTTACGAACTCTTCTACGAGGTACCTCCAATTTATCAGTCATCATGTAGCCTGAAACCCTACAAACAATAACCTTTGGACACATTAGCATGCCAAATATCATAATAACTAGTCCATTTACCAACTTGGGAGCATTTTCACTAATGAGCAATTACACTAAGACAAATCACCTAAAAAAAATCACTTCGCCATTGTAAGTAGCCAGAGCAATTTCTCTCACACCATCTTTATCGATATCATACAAGAGAGGACTAGAATGCACAGTTGACTGGTGAAAAGCAGGCCAACCTGACAAATTATTGAAAACTCATACGCATCAACTTTGATCAAATTACTCCAAAACCAAATAAACATGTTCATTTCCTAAACTTGATTCAACATGATCATAGAAAACGAAGCACCGGTACCTGGCATTTTGTCGCCATCAGAACCTTCTAAAACTTCAAGGTAGTGAACAAATGAGGGAACCACTATGTCAAGCTTCCCATCACTACATATTATACAACCATAATACTTGAGTCAACTCAATTATTATAACCGATCAATTTACTAACAAAATCGGCAGATTTCTGGAAAACGAAATGAAAAGAAGTAAAATTTAATATAGTTAAAGCTCACAATGCAATTAAAACATGAACAAAAAGGAAGAGTAAAAAATTTCACCTATTGATATCGGCGATTAACGGAGTTGCATAAATGCTAGAGCTGACTTCCGTTTGCCATCTAAGTTCTAAATTTCTAGGGCACTGTGTGTTCAACAAGGCATCTTCATCCCTACACATCCATGCACACAAAATTTTCCTTACAAAAATAGGTCCTCTAATTCAATTCGATTTACGAATCCAAAAACAACAAAAGAAGAACTTACATTTCGGGATAACCAAGCTCGTCGTCTGTGGCGCGTCGTTGGCGGAATTTATTTTTGGAGTCCTCGCCATGAGAGAAGCTCGAGTGACTAATCAAAAGGAAAAGAATCCACAAAACCCTAATCTCGAAGGATTTCATGCTGTGATCTTCGTTTCACTCCAGATTTTGCAGAAAGAAATAAAGGAAAAGAGTGATCGAAATGACGAGTAATTTCCAGACGACAGAGAGTGAGAATGATATGATTACTGAAGGAGTGGATAAACCATGGATGGATGGGTGAAGATCTCTGTCTCCCTCTCACAGGAATTTTCCAGCTGAAAGAGCAGCTCGGGACATTGACGATTTTGACAAGATGTGTACTGAATTCAGCTCTGCATTTTTATTCTTTCGACGACTTTTTTTTTTTTTAACATTGACGATTACGACTTTAAATTTTATTTTTTATTATTTTTATTCTTTTTATCAGCTTTTGAGTGCAATGCTGAGCAAAATTCTTTTAATGCTCACAATTCTTTTAACGAGCTAATTTTTTTAAAATATATATATATTTGATGTACTTTAATATATATCACAATTATATCCAAAAGTATCTCATATTGTAAGTGATATAAATTTTTATACGTCGAATATCATTTTAATATATAATCAATGTAAGATTTATGTTTCTCATCTTTAAAACTTGATATTCTTTAAATTTTATTTTTCAAATTCATGTTCACACGAAGACCATGATTATATATATCACCTATTAAGACATAATATAAATTTTAAATTTATAAAAATATAAATAACAAATGATATCAAAATTTATTTATTTTTATTGATATAATTTCTTTAAAATCGAGATAACCTGTGATCAAGATACCCAAAATCGAAATAAATTCAAACCAAGTGACAAGTTAAGTGGAAGAAAATGTCACCTATTTCATAATTCAGAATTTTTTCTTAATAAATATTTATGTTTAAAAGTTTTCAACTTTTATCGTGTGCATAGAACATAAATCCATAAATGAAAATAAAATCAATTGTAAACTTACGGTTTGCTTTTTGCTCCTTTTAAATACCATAAGAAATGACATTTATAACATTAAAATTTCTTTAAAATGTTGTCGCAGTTTCTCTATTAACGAAATTAGGGTGGGAGAAGAAGAGTTGAAATCAAGTCAGTGGGAAAATAAGTAGAGATCAAATATGTTTTTACTTGGCGAAATGGTTTTGGCAATTGAACGAAAGAATCGAATTCCTCTTTCAGCCATCTTCGCAAGCTTCCTATTCGTTCATTACTGTAAATACGTGATTCAATCATCCTGCATCAAAGTGACAGGAGGAAGTACCAAGGTGAACATGCACAAAACTCAAAACAGACTGCAATATTGAAGCATAATACCAGTACTTTGTGTGATTACAAGACATCATCCAACTTAAACAGCAGCAAAAAAACAGTCAACAAGTGAGGGAGCAGAGAGAAGAGACTGAAGGGAAAGCTGCAAAAACTATTTAATCAGCAAAAACAGAGCATATGAGCAAGAGTAAATACCAAAGTCTCCATTTTCCAATCAAATATCCAGAGAGAGCCAAAATGCAAAAACCCTCAAAATGGAACACACTGCTTTTTTGTTCTGG